TGCAGGCTGGTGTTCAATCCACTGAGTCACACCAGCCAGGGCTTATTCCTTTTTTTTTTTTTTTTTTAAGATTATTTATTTGTTTATTTCCAGACAGAGGAAAAGGGAAGGAGAAAGAGAAACACCAGTGTGTGATTGCCTCTCACACACCCCACACTAAGGACCCAGCCTGCAACCTAGCCCAAAACCCATGCATGTGCCTGGACTGGGAACCGAACTGATAACCATTTGGTTTGTAGGCCCGTGCTCAATGCAGAGCTACACCAGGCAGGGAATGGGTTTATTCCTTTTATTTTAGCCCTCACTATGTAAGGGGTTCATGGGAAGCCTTTATATCACCATTTTATTTTATTTTTTTTAAATTGATTATGCCATTACATTTGTTCTATTCCCCCCTCTGTTCCCCTCCACCCTGCACACCGCTCCCCCACCATTTCCCCCCTTTAGTTCATGAACACGTGTCTCGAGTTCTTTAGATTCTGTATTTCCTCTACTATTCTTACCCTCCCCCCCTATCTATTTTCTATCTACTGTCTATGCTACTTATTTTCTGTACCTTCTCCCCCCTTCTCCTTCTCCCACTCCCCTGTTGCTAACCCTCCACATGATCTTCATTTCTATGGTTCACTCCTGATCTAACTGTCCACTTAGTTTGCTTTTGTTTTAGGGGTGGTTGTTGATAACTGTGAGTTTGCTGTCCTTTCACTGTTCATCTTTTTTATCTTCTTTTTCTTAGGTAAGTCCCTTTAACATTTCATATAATAAGGACTTGGTGATGATGAACTCCTTGAATTTGGTCTTATCTGAGAAGCACTTTAACTGTCCTTCCATTTTAAATGAAAGCTTTGCTGGATAGAGCAATCTTGGTTGTAGGTCTTTGGTTTTCAGGACTTGGAATACCTCTTTCCAGCCCTTTCTTGCCTGTAAGGTCTCTTTGGAGAAATCAGCTGACAGTCTGATGGGAACTCCTATGTAGGTGACTGTCCCCTTATCTCTTGCTGCTTCTAGGATTCTCTCCTTCATTTTAATCTTGGCTAATGTAATGATGATGTGCCTTGGTGTGTTCTTTCTTGGGTCCAACTTCTTTGGGACTCTCTGAGCTTCCTGGATTTCCTAGAAGTCTATTTCCTTTGCCAGAACAGGGAAGTTCTCCTTTATTATTTGTTCAAATAAGTTTTCCACTGGTGGCTGTTCCTTTCCCCCTTCTGGTACCCCTATAATTCGGCTGTTGGAGCGTTTAAAGATGTCCTGGAGGTTCCTAAGCCTCTCCTCATTTTTTTGAATTCTTGTTTCTTCATTCTTTTCTGTTTGGTCATTTTTTCCTTCCTTCTGGTCCGCTCCCTTGATTTGAGTCCCAGGTTCCTTTCCATTACTATTGGTTTCCTGTGCATTACCATTCATTTCAATTAGTTTAGCCTTCACATGTTCCTCTAATTTGTGACTAAAATCAACAAATTCTGTGAGGATCCTGATCACCAGCGTTTTGAACTGTGCATCTGATATGTTGGCTATTTTTTGGTCACTTAAGAGTTATGGGCTCTGGGGCTTTGAGATCTTCTTGAGCCATTTTTGGTGTTTGTGCCCATTAAGTATGAAGAGCAGAGCCTTAGTTGTTTACCAGGGCGGGGCCACCCAGGTTGCTGGTTTGTGATGCTATATGTGGAGGCGGGATCAGAGAGGGAGCAATGGCGGTCCTCTCTGCTCGCCCAGTCTGTCCCACCGCTCGCCCCTGCCTGTTTATCTGAGCAGAAATGTGCGAGCCCGCCGCCCTGCGCAGTGCGGTCTCAATGCTCGTCTCTTCACTGGTTTATCTGCACGCAAATGCTCAACTGGTTTATCTGCACGCAAATGCTCAACCGACCGCAGACAGCCAGCCAGCCGTGCCTCTTCCCTGTGTCCGCCCGTAGCTAGCCTACACCTGGGATCCGCACCTTCAGCTGCTTGCACACCACCCCTGTCAGGGATCTTTTTGGCCAACCAGCTCCCCTGCTGGCTTTGCCCCTCTTACCGGTTTAGCTGAGCATTTCGTTGTTTTCGGACTTCATATTGTCGATTTTCTGTGTGGTTTGGCTGCGTTTATTGTTGTTAAAACTTTGTTATTTTTAGATTTGGTTGTGCAAGGACACAAGGTGTTTCCACCTATGCTTCCATCTTGGCGAAAGTCCCCTATTTTATTTTTTTAAGATTTTACTTATTTATTTTTAGAGAGAGGGGAGGGGAAGGAGAAATGGAGGAAAGAAACACCAATCTGTTGGTTGCCTTTTGCACATACCCCAACCAGGGAACAGACCAACAACCCAAGCATGGAACTGGCAATGTCCTGCTTTTCAAGACGACACCCAACCAACTGAGCCACACCATTCAGGACACATCCCCACTTTAGACAGACTGCTTGCTCATACAACAGGCAATCAAGGCACTTACCATCATCTTTCTCTCCCCCAGGGAAAGACTCCTCATTTAGTCACAGTCATATACTACATAAAACTAAACACAAATAGGAAAGGGAATAGAAGAGGGACCAAAGGACAGGAAATTCTCAACACATCGGAACAAACCTCTACCATTTTAGTGTAACACAAATGAAATTTATGGACTTATTAGAACTGATGGAAATTTTCCATAGATAGAAAAATTAGTAAAATTAAAAACAGACATCCAGCCCCGGCTGGTGTGGCTCAGTGGACTGAGTGCTGGCCTGCAAACCAAAGTGTCACGGTTCAATCCCCAGTCAGGGCAAATGCCTGGATTGCAGGCCAGGGCCCCAGCTGGGGGCATGCAAGAGGCAACTGATCAATGTATCTCTCACACATTAGTGATTCTCTCCCACATTTTCTCCCTCACTTCCCCTCTCTCTAAATAAATAAATTATATAAATAAATAAATAAATCTTAAAAAAAAAATAGACATCCGATTATTGAAAATAAGATGGCTAGGCCAGCTCTAACATTTTATACACCTATCACATCTTCCATGTGGTAGTCAAAGACAGAATAAATTTGTGTTCTCTAAATATCCTATGATAACAGTAAGAAGTGCTTCCTTTTTAAAGCTATCCTCAAAAAAAGATAATCAGTGTTATGGACAGAGTACTTATCAAGAGAGCAAAAAGTTAAAAATGATATATCCAAAAAGAAAAAAAGATATATCACTGTCTATTTTCAAGCAAGAGAATTAAAACACATTTTACCAGACAGAGAAGTTACAGACAAACCAGGGTTCATTTTCCTTACCTGTGAATCTTCAAGGATCTAGTACAGCTACTAGGTTGGCTCAGACAAAAGACGAATCACTTCCCAATTTCCAAAAGGCCTCCCCATTTCAAGCTCTCAATCTTCAGAGCCAGCAAAGCTGAAGCATCAGTCTCTTTCAATTCTTTTGAAAGGAGCTTCACCTCTCTCTCAAAAGCTGTGGCTAAAAAGCCATCTTCTTCCTCTGGAAACACACAGTATAACTCTGTCCTCTGCTTTGTCTACTCTAAACAACAAGCACAACAAAGCCTCAGGAGTGCTCCCTCAGCCCATCAGAAAGAACCAGCCACCTCTTGGGCTCTTGTACAGCTGCTTCTGTCTTTCTCTGAGAGACACTCCACCCTAGAGGTTCCAAGGGCAGGGTAACAAAGAGTGGAGCTGGCAAGTTGCTATATGCCTATGTGACCTCAAAAACAGAGACAGGGCCATGGGACAACCAGACTCCTTTGCAAAGGAAACAGTTTTTTATCATTAAAAAATAATAAATTGTGTTTGCACATCCCTCACTGTGCAGCCTTTCCAGCTTGTTTCAAACTAGTTTTCTCAACTCATAATTAGGCACATTAGTATAAAACGTGTTACAAGGGAACTGGATTATTGGCCCTTCATTCTCTATTTCCTTTCTCTTGGGTAAGAAGCTTCACACCATTTCTAAAAATGTCTAAGAGTATGGTATTTTTCCTACACAAGTCTGATGGAGAGTTTGTCACATTACAGAACTGTTATTTCTGCATATAATCTGCTGTGCCTAGACACGAAGCACAAATGTGCCTATTGAGGTTTTGCAAACAATATGCTTCACCTTGACAAAGAAATCAGTCATAACATTAATAATGGTAAGGTCTAAATCGAATAATACTGTCAGTGATATAATAAGATCAGCTTACAATTTTCAATTTTCATAAACAATCTCAATCACATACATGATGCTTGCAATAGCCCATTGTATTACTACATCTCCCAGAGGTTCAGAAAGGTTTAGAGGTGCCTGCCCAAGATTATCGCCTTTAATCAGTGGTGGACGTGGGTTGGAACCTGTCAAACTCTATGCCTAGCCTAGCTCTTTTCTCTAGATCCCTACCAGTTTTAAACAGAGGGCTTCCGACTTCCATTCTCTACCAGACCACCCTATTGCTCCAACCAACCGGCCCTTCCCTGCTAGGATCAGAGTTGGCTTCTTCAGCTCCAACGGGCCTTTCATCCTCCCCCCACCCCACCCCACCCCACTCCCGCGACCATTCTCTGAAAGAAGCGGAAAGGGAGAGGCGACCGAAAGCTCCTGGGGGAAGGGACGATGACAAATGGGGGAACACGGCACACTGGCCCTGCCATGGCCTCCTTCACTCTGCAACGCGCAACCCCTTTCCTCCACCAAGCTGCCCAGCCCTTCTAACAACCATCTGCACACCCATGCCCCAAATTCTCCCTTAATTACTTCAAACTGTCCCTCCCCCACGCCCCTTCGCTTCCGACAGGCAGAGCCCCCACCCCATAGCTGGAGTATCCTTCCACCAAATCACCCCCTTCCCTCGCTTCACCACCACTCACTGTCGGTGACTGGGCCCGGCCTTCATGGCTGCTCCGTTGCTGCCCGCCACCAGCCGCCCAACACCGCTGCTCCACACCCCAGCCCCTCAGTGTCGCCGCCGCCGTCGGCTCTCCGGCAGCTGCTCCTGCGCCTGCGCGGCCTGGAGTGCCCGGACCTTCTCAGGCCTCGCGCACCTGCGCAGTCCGCTTTGGGGGCGCCTTAGACAGTGCCTGATGCCCTGGAGCCCTGTAGACATGGCCGCTGGCCTCGAGAGTCCATTAAACTTGGCTTTGGTAGCTGTCGCAGGATCGAAACCTCTGAAATATCTTGTCTACTTACTAAAGGTTTGAACCCATAAGGAGCCATAGACTTAATGGCCCTACCAGGATTCTGTATCCCACTTGCACCTGAAGGCCTGAAATTACATGCTCTGAGGTGAGCTCTGAGAATAAATTTAGGCCTTCCTTCCTTCTCTTCCTTCTCTTCTTTTCCTCCTCTTCCTCTTGCCATGCTAATCTCTGTATGGGTCCCATCTTAGTAAATGTGCTGCCGATGCGAGCACTCTGTTTGTTTGTTTAATTGATTTTTAGAGTGAGAAGAAATATCAATTTGTTGTTCCACTTATATTTGCATTATTGCATATGTGTGCCCTGACTGGGGATATAATCCGCAATGTTGGCATATCCAGAAGATGCTCTAACCAACTGAGCTATCCAGCCAGAGCTAGGTTTCTTTCCAGAAGATGATTGAAAGGTTTTCTTAGGCTCCACTGAGGAAGAAATGCCAAACAGCCACAAAGTCAGGCAATAAAGAGCTTTATTGGAGCTTGCACGCCCAGGCGAGGTTCCCCAGTCCACAGAGTAGGGCCAGGGAAGTGGCCCCTAAGCAGGGAATATGGCAGGGTTTTACTTTGGTTGGCTCTCTTCGTGGAAGCTGGGGATCTGTCCCCTTTGAACAAAGTGGCAATATATCATTGGTGGCCTTCCTCAGGCTCAGGTTGCTATGTGGATATCCATTTTGGCAAAGCCCGCCCTTTCAGCTCTCTGGTTTGATGTCAGGCGTCTTTTCCGGGTTGTAGTTCAGCCACCATTTTGTCCTACCCCGCCCATCCTGACAAGGATCACATCTATCGCAGAATGCATTGGGGGTAATTGTGTAAGAGGCAACTTTGACACCCCAAAATACACTACTAGCTAGGAGGTGCTCAGAAGCCCCGGGTCCTTGTCTAGGAGATGACTACACCTAGAATGCACTGGGACACTGCTAAATTCAGTGTTTATCAAGTGCATACTGTTTATTGGATGACAATGTTCTAGGTGTTTCATGTGCCACTGAGGGACTTGCAGGCTAATAGTCCCCTACTTTCCAGCTATCACTCTAGAGCCTGAACCTTTTGCAAACTAGTAAAGGAAACCGGACTTTTAGCCCAATGAGGCCCAACTATCAGCCGGTAGACTACTGTGCTGCCTTGGCATAGCCCAGTAAGAGACTAGGCTCAACTGAGTCCCGGAACTGAACAACAAATCTGAATGCCACAGGCAACAGACTTCAGTCAAAGGGAAGAAGAGGTACAGGACTAAGTTCTCCTTATCACTGTGACTCCAACATCCCACCTCCAGCCCACTCTCCCTCTACAATTCAGCATCTGGAGAGATAGGGACCAAGATATAACATCAGGAGAAAAGAAGAAGAAAGCGCTTTTTTCTTTCCTTTTTTTTTAATGAACAGTGTTAAATTCTCTCTACTTCTAGGCCTGGTCCTAGAATGAATGTTTTAACTCCTAATCTAAGATAAGGAAACTTTTGCTATTTTGTAAAAGAAGCAAAAATAGACCCTAGGCCTAGAAAATCGTTGCCTTTGAGTAAAGGTTGAGAATGCTGAAAATGAAGTATCACAATGATGCTGGAGGCAATACTGCCTGATTGTCATTAATGTTACTAATTACCAAGACTGGGTTGGGCATTGTCCCACAAACCCAAAGGTGTCTGCTTCAATTCCCAGTCAGGATACATGCCTGGGTTGCAGGCCAGGTCACCGGTTGGGGGCATACAAAAAGTGATCACAGCCCCGGCTGGTGTGGCTCATTGGATTGAGTACGGGCCTGTGAAGCAGGGGGTCGCCTATTCGATTCCCAGTCAGGGCACATGCCTGGGTTGCAGGCCAGGTCCCTGGTGGGGGACATATGAGAAGCAACCACACATTGATGTTTCTCTCCCACTCTTTCTCCTTTCCTTCTCCTCTCTCTAAAAATAAATAAATGTTAAAAAAAAAAAAGTGATCACGGTACATTGATGTTAGTCTCCCTCTCTTTCTCCCTCCTTTCTACAAATAAAAAAAATAAATTAAAAAATACTACAAATTCTTCTATAGAAGGAAGCAGGAAGATATAGGCAAATACACATAATGGAATTCTCAGGTCACTAAGATACTAAGGGTTATTCCCTGAAGCATATAGGAAAATGAGGATTTTTTTTCTTATCAAATTCTTGTGATTTTTACATACAGAACTATATGTTGCTGTGGGGATACAGTGTATAAATTCACATAATCCTATCTCAAGAAAAGGAAATCTACACAAAGATACAGTTCTCATGTATGAACTGCCTCCCACCAAGGCAATTATATCTTAACATATGTAAAGTAAAATACAACAGCTTACTGAATAGGGTGGTGGGCACTAAATAAGACATTCTGTGGGCCTGTGGGTAGGGGCCCAGGACCAATCCCAGAGGCTAGCTCCTGGCTTAGAAGAGTTGTCATTACTTGCAAAAGTATTATCCTTTGGAATGAGAGCACATTTGGCACCTTAACAATTGCAAAGCCAGAAAGGAGGAAGAATTAATATAGACACTACGTTCTGATGAATCAATGACTCAAAAGAAGGCCACAGCTGGCCTTGAAGCTTCTGGGAACTGTGTTTTCCTACCTTCACCACCACATGCAGCCCCCAGGACGGCCTGCTGGAATCTATATGATGACAGCATTATCTTCTTATGTTTGAACCATAAGGGTCTCCTAACCTATTCCCCTACTTAAATTTCTTTTTCTTTTTTAATTGATTTTAGATAGAGGAAAAGACAAAGAGAAAGAGAGAAGCATCATTGTGACAGAGAAACATCCATCACCCTTACACGCCCTGAGTGGAGATCCAACCCTCGACCTACAAATGTGCCCTCACCAGGTATCCAACCCACAATCTTTTGGTGTATGGGACAACACTCCAACCAAGTGAGCCACCTGGTCAGGGCTTGAATTTCTTACCAAGGACAAAAGAGTGCAATTTTTTTTCCTACCAAGCATTCATTCACTAGATCCAATGAAAATCATTCAGACAACCACCCTTACTCCATTTTCAGACCATGTGGATAAGCACATGTTGGCACATAACCCACACAGAGCCAAAAATGCACAAGGAGAATTTTCTTTCTGAGAAAGTTCTTTCCCATTAAAACTGGATATGAGAAGATGTAATATCCAGAACTGCTGCAACCATCTCGATGCTATAAAGGGTGAGCCAATCCAGAAATATAATTTATTCACTCAACAAACAAAAATCTATTGAGTATCTACTATGTACAAGATACTGTCCTAAGTGCAGGAAATACAGTACTAAATAATATATATTCCTTGTTTTCATAGAACTTACGGTACAGGGTATACAACAACAAACACAAAGCATTTACTATGTGCCAAGCACCGTTCTAAGCACTTTACACATCAGTTATTTTAATAATAAATCTTATCAGCATATTATCATTATCCCTATTTTAAAATATGAGGAAACTGAGGTAGAGAGGTTACTTGCCTCAGGTCACATAAAAAATAATGGAGCTGAGAATCAAACACAGGGTGTCTGGCTCAATCTGTTTGCTCATCTACCATATTCTAAACTGCCTTGTCATAGGAGGAAAGAAGGGTCCTATGAGAGAATTTAACCAGTCTTGCAAGTAAAAAGTAAAAGAAAGACTTCTGGCCAAGATAGAGGCATAGGAAGATACACTGTGCCTACTCACATAACCAAAAAGACAATAACAAATTTAAAAACAAAAAACAACCAGAGCTGCGAGCAAATCGAACTGTATAAAAGTCCAACATTCAGCTGCAGGCTGTCTCCCTGCAGATGGCCAAAGGGACTTTTCTCAGAAAAAAAGGCTTTTGGGTTTGACTTTAATTAAAAAAAAAAGTCCAACAACCAAGGAGTTAAAGAAGAAACATTCATCTAGATCAGTAGGAGGGGCAGAGCTGGGCAGCCGGGCAGAGAGGACTCTCATCAAGGTAACAGCTGGAGGACCAGGGTGGGTGAGGCAGTGGCTGGTGGAGTGGATGGTACCACATTTGCATTCAGATAAACCAGGAGGAACAACTGGGGAGCAAGACAGACCACACAACCCAGGGTTATAGCATGGGGAAATAAGGCCTCAAAACCTCTGACTGAAAAAACCTGTGAGGGGTGTGGCAGCGGGAGATAAACTCTCAGCCTCACGGGGAGAGACCCATGGGGTCCTAGAACATACACAAACCACCCACCCAGGAATCAGCACCAGAAGGGCCCAATTTGCTTGTGGGTAGCACAGTAAGGAACTGAAAGCCAGCAGAGAGCTGAGCAAGCAGCATTGTTCCCTCTCAGACCCCCACCCTGCAACCCATACCCCACCATGGGTTGCCCTACCCTGGTGAACACCTAAGGCTCTGCCTCTTACAATGTAACAGGCACAATGTGACACCAAAAAATGGCCCAAATGAAAGAAATGATCATAGCTCCAGGGAAAACACAACTGAGCAACAAAGAGATTAGAGATTAGTCAACCTATTAGATGCACATTTCAAAACACTGGTAATCAGGATGCTCACAAAAATGGTTGAGTATGGTTGCAAAACAGGAAAAAGCGAAGGTTATGAAAAGTGAAATAAAGAAAAATGCACAGGGAACCAACAGCGACGGGAAGGAAACTGAGACTCAAATCAATGGTTTGGACCAGAAGGAAGAAATGAACATTCAACCAGAACAGAATGAAGAAACAAGAATTTTTAAAAATGAGGAGAGGCTTAGGAATAACTTTAAATGTTCCATCATCTGAATCATAGGGGTGCCAAAAGAAGAACAGGAAGAGTTAGAAATGGAAAACTTATCTGAAAAATTTATGAAAGAGAACATCCCCATCTGGCAAAGGAAATAGACTTCTAGGAAGTCCAGGAAGTTCAGAGAGTCCCAAAGAAGTTGGACCCAAGGAAGCACATTAACAAGGCACATCATAATTACATTACTCAAAATGAAAAAGAAGGAGAGAATTTTAAAAGCAGCAAGAGAGAAGGAGACAGTTACCTTCAAAGGGGTTCCCATAAGACTATCAGCTGATTTATCAAAAGAAACCTTGCAGGCAGGAAGAAGCTAGAAAGAAGTATCCAAAGTCATGAAAGCAAAAGACCTACATCCAAGATTACTCTATCTAGCAAAGCACAAAGCTTTCATTTAGAATGGAAGGGCAGATAAAGTGCTTCCCTATAAGGTCAAGTTAAAGGAGTTCATCATCACCAAGCCCTTATTATATGACATGCTAAAGGGAACTTATCTAAGAAAAAGATCAAAAATATGAATAGTAAAATGACAACAAACTCACAATTGTCAACAACTGAATCTAAAAAAACAAAAACTAAGCGAACAACTACAACAGGAACAGAATCACAGAAATGGAGGGATATCAGTGGGGAGAGACAGGAGAGAGAATGAGGGAAAAGGTAGAGGGAATAAGAAGCATAAATGGTAGGTAAAAAAACAGACAGGGGAGGTTAAAAATAGTATGAGAAATGGACAAGCCAAAGAACTTATGTGTACAACTCATGGACGTGAACTAAGGCGGGGAATGGGGGTGAGAGGAGGGTGCAGGGTGGAGGGGAATAAAGGACAGGAAATGGGACAACTGTAATAGCATAATCAATAAAATATATTTAAAAGAAAAAAAGTAAAAGAATACCAGGTAATTGGGGGACTGAAAAATTCAACTGAACTGAAAAAGTTCACTTGAATGGAGTGGCAAAAATGGGACTGGCAAAGTAAGCTGGAGACATATTAATTACCTTGTGCTTTATTCTCAGGGCAGTGAAGCAAAGGAGTGATTTAGTCAGATTGGGGCCATGAGGAGTTTGCTAGGATCAAAGATCCTGAAGACCCCTGAGTAACCTCTGATGATCGTTGCTGTGAAGAAAAGCCTCTCTGAGGAAGTAACATTTAAACTGAAACCTGAATGGGGATCAGAAGCCAAATGTACAAGAAGACATGAGGCAGGAGTAACAGATGTAAAGACCATGAAGCAGAAATGAGCTGTGTGTGTGTGTGTGTGTGTGTGTGTGTGTGTGTATAATTACATTTGTTTTTAGAAAGAGGGGAAGGGATGGACAAAGAGAGGGAGAAAAACATCGATGTGTGAGAGATACATTGATCTGTTGCCTCTTGTGGTCCCCAACTAGAGACCTGGTCCACAACTCAGGCATGTGCCCAGACTGGGAATCAAACTGGTGACCCTTTGGTTCTCAGGCCACTACTCAATCCACTGAGCCACACAGGCCAGGGTGAGCCTAGTATAATTAAGAAATGGAAAGAAGCCAATGTGGCTGAAGTCTTGGGAGTAGACGTAAGCACAGGTTTTAATGCATGCAAGGACTTAATCCAGTTGGAAAAGGAAGCCATCAGAGTTTTAGGCACCATCTCCTTCCAAATCCATCCTCTTAAATCTTTGAAATTTATCTGCTTCTCTCCACCATCTTGATTGGTCTATTTTAATAAGATAAAAGTTGGAACAGGATTTGGAATAAGGAAAGGTTTTTCACTTTTCAGATAGAAGCAGTTAAGCATTTAAAAAAAATAAACACTGATATAAGGAAAACAGTACAGTATATTCTGTAGAATATATATTATATAGAATATAGAAAAGAAATTGTCTATACAGAAAAGAAATTTATGGAAGAAGTTTGCAAAACAATTGCCCTTAAGATAAAAACACTTGCTGAGAGCCTATATTGTGTTAAGTCCTAGATTCAAATTAACATATATTTCATTTTACAAATGAGGAAACTGACACCTGAAGAGTTTAAATAACTGGTTCAAACTCACATAGCTAGTAAACGGCAAAATGAGATATCAACCCAGATAATCTGCTTCATTTGATTAACCTCTTCTAACTTCACACAATACAAAAATTCCCCCACAATATCCTTTGAGGGGAAATTTCTGGGAAAGAAGAGAATTAACAAAGCACTTTGATTAATTTCCCCTAAGTTTTGTGTCATCCCTGGGATGCTTCCACAGTACTCTCTGTTGCCAGAACTGTAGTATTCAGTATGTGTTCCATAGGTAATTTTATATTTATGTAATTAAACTCTTCATTTGCTTTTATGTAATTAAAGTCTTTATTCACTGTTTAACCTGTGATTTCCTGTCACTTTAATGCAGTTGAAATGCATTTTACCTTACTATCCATGAAAGAAGATTCATATTTTCCTAATTGCTGACTGTCCTGTACTTTGTGGCATCTCATTTGGGGGGCATATGGGATGCCCAAAGAACATCCAGAATATCATGTTCCAAAAAAGCTGTTCCTTCTACTAACAGAGAAGGCACCCTGAAAGCTGGAGCATGGTGACATTTGCAAACCATCAGCGCATTTGGGTTCTCCAGCTTTGTCAATCCTGTCATTCAGTTTCCCTGGACACTCAACCTCCATTCCTACAACAGCAGGCTGGCCAGCTGGTTCTCACCATTTTCCAATATCCCCCCACCTCCTTCCTGTATCATCAGGTTTTCCGTCTCTGTTGGGTCATTGCCATGAACAAACACAATCTCCCATCTTAAAAAAGAAAACTCCTAACCCCACTCCTCTTCTGCTCTGCTCCCCTGGGAAGAATTGTATATACGAGTATATTCTGGCTATCCTTAATTCCTGTCCATTCTCTCTTAAAAAACCCACTCCATTTAGGCTTTTACCCAGACCACTCTACTGAACTGTTCCTGTCAGATCACTGACATCACAAACACAAACACGCATGGCCCCCAGGATGCAAGTGATGGAAGAATTTTGTCCATTTTGTTCATTGATATATCCACAGCATCCTGGCAGGGCCTGTACATAGTATATGCCTAATGAATTCCCATCCCTTCAGTTCCTGCAACAATTATCTCTCAATATCAAGAGTCTGATTGAGAGCGTCCAAAGGATGAAAGGAGCTTTAGGCCACAAATTGCCCAAGGTAAAACAAGTTGCTCAGGCTGCTAAGGCAGTCTGGGAGATCCTGGGTGACTCAACAACTTCTTCTTCCTATGAAGACCCTCTCCTATTTTGGAACAGAGGGTCTACTATCTCAGGCAAGAGATAGTGGCCAAGATTTAAGGACGGAAATCCGGATCGGCTGCTCATTGCTAACACCGACCCACGGATCACTCCATACAGGAGGCTCGCACAAAGTGAAGAGTGCAGCCTGCCGGAGCTGCTGCCAGCCGCTAAGGCTAATCCAAAGTGGGACTCCATACGGAGACCATTGGAACAGTGCCGGTTCCCACGCCCACCCACCCTTCAATACTCAGGTTTTTCCAGCTGGGTGAAGAAGTCAGGCACTAAAAGAACGTTTTCTCCTGCTTGGTCTCGTGGGAGATGTCGTTTTTCAGGAGGCTGGGCTACAAGGGCCTTTTACAAAACTTTAGCAGGAGAAAACACGACGAATACAGGATTCCAAAAAAATCATCATGCTCACACTCTAAATACTCATTTTCCCTTGTTCTTGGCCAGTCCCCAGAGTAACTCTTCCGGCACACCCCTCCAACGCCGCTTACGTCTCCGCTCTCTGGGCCAGTCTATCTCTCTTCAGCTCGCTAGTCTTTCTGCTGCTGCATCCAATCGTAGGTGAGTTCCGGGCCAGCTCCCGGAGTGCTTTGCGGCTGTCATGGCTTCCCCCAGGCAGCGCGGCGTTGCGCTCTTTCGTACTGCATTAGGGTTTTGGCAGCTGGGCCTTGTCGCCACGAGGGAACGAGCGACGCAGTTTCCGTCACTCTTGGGCTGTCAGCGGAGGTGCGTGTCCTGTGTCGCGGGCACTGCTTTCTCTGGTCCCCTCCTGGCCTCGGCTTCTAGGTGTTGTGGCCAGAACTCCGCACTGGACCGCTTGCTCGGAATCTCTCAGCCTGACAGTTCGTTGACACCTCGCGTCCCCGCCGTGTCCATTCACAGAGGTAAAGGGCCCAGACAGATATGCCCGGGACGGTCACGGTTTTTAATCATTGAAAGTTCAGTATTGGGGAAACCTCTCAGTCTGGTGATAATGTTTTTGACCCGGCATTAAAAAAACAATCTAAAGGCCACGAGAAAGGTGAGCAGTGAAGACTCATCTGGTCACAACTAGAGACGCTCACGAAGCACGAGACTGAAGGACCACAGGGCAGGCAAAGGGACCGAAGCTGGTAGGGAGTCCGGACACATAAACTGATCATTGCAGTGCAGTGTCATAAGAAGCTAATACAAAAAGACTGAGACAGCTTTCAGAGCCTTCCTAACACTCTCAGTAGAGTGAGACTGTCAGGGTTGGAGGGATTCCTGGCTTTATCTGGTCTATCTGTACTCACATATTTACCAGGCACAACTACACAAGTACAGTTCCACTCAGTAACTGAGTATTAAGTTACTCAGTTACAGGGATTGTTTCCACAATTACCAATTGTCAAAAGAAGGTTATTTTATTCCTTAGTTTTCCCTTAGTTTTCTCATTTTACATAAGAAAACTAAGGAATTTAGAGAGGTTAGAGGACTTGATAAAATTATATAAACCAATTAATGGGGCCAGAGGCAAGAGAATTTAGGCCCTTGAGCTTCCTTCACAGCACCCAGCTCCCCAGAATATTCCCGTTTGGGCCAGAGAGCAGGGAGGAGATTACTCTCGGCCCCTATCCTGAGCTGGAAGGGCCAACATGGCCCCAGGACCTATGACCCTGAGCCCTGCCTCCCCCACAGGGTCCCACCTTAATCACAGCAAACATTTCAATTCCCTGTGGCCTTCAACCAGTAAGCAAACAGCCTGTAACAAAAAAAAAAATTTTATATAAACTAATTAATGGACAAACTAAGTCTCAAAACCAGGTCTTGGCTTCAACCTGGTACACCAACCTTCTATCCGTACTCCCTGTGTGGGTGGGTAGGGCTTCGTACCTGACAGGATCTAGATTGTACTCCCTCTCATTTCCCTCCTGCCTCCACACACAGATGAACAGGATCTTCTCTTGGTCCATCGTCCCGACATGCCTGAGAACTCCCGAGTCCTACGAGTGGTCCTCCTGGGTGCCCCGAATGCAGGGAAGTCAACACTCTCTAACCAGCTGCTGGGCCGAAAAGTATGCTGCACCCTGGACCCACCCCTCAACACACAGCCTTTTCATCTCTCCATGTATTGTCTTGGAAGGATCTGGGACCTCAATGGTGACTTCTTTGTTCCTGGCAGGTGTTTCCTGTCTCCAAGAAGGTGCACACCACTCGCTGCCAAGCTCTGGGGGTCATCACGGAAAAAGATGCCCAGGTGGTGGGTACCGGCAACAGGACAGAGCATGAAACTTAAGGGCCTCTCTTAGCGTTAGACCTGAAGAAAATGATGTTTAGACTCACTTCTCTGAGGAAAGAGGAGTTTCTCCTCCTTTAGGCCTAGATTATCTCTCTGGCATTAGTCAGAAAGATCTTATTTTGTCTTTACTGCTTCCTAATCTTCCATATATCTCCAGTCATCATCTTCCTCCTGGATCCCAGCTAGAATTTAAACAAAGCTAGAGTGTAAAAATCTAGTCAGTTTAACCAAGAAGTTGGGGGGGTGGGGGGCATGGGGGAAGCAGGCTCCTGATGTCAAGGATAGCTTTTCTCTTGCTCCCAGTCATAATCTTTCCTCCTGGTGCCCAAGGGTCTGGGTATCTCTCTTTCCTCATTTTAGATTCTACTTGACACACCTGGCCTGATCAGCCCTGTTAAACAGAAAAGGTAATACTTATGGAAACAAGGGTTCTAAGGGCAAAGGTGTTGAAGAGGGGGTGGGGAGATTCCATCATAGGATCTAGAAAACCCCCTTTTCACACCGCATCCCTTATCAAGGGTGCATCGGTCATAAGGCCCTGCCTGAACTCTGTATGTCTGTCCCTCAGGCACCACCTGGAGCTCTCTTTGTTGGAAGATCCGTGGAAGAGCATGGAATCTGCTGATTTGGGTTAGGCTTGAGATGGGAATCTGAAGCCCAACTTACACTGTCATGGCTTCTTATTCTTGATAGTTTGGAAGGTGGGGTTTGGCCAGAGCCCGTACCATTAGAAGTTCGTGGGGAGTTTAGGAAGAGAGTGGTCATATCTCTGCCCTCCCTACCCTGCTAACTTCCAGTTGTGGTACTTGTGGATGTCTCTGACAAGTGGACTCGGAACCAGCTCAGCCCCCAAGTGCTCCAGTGCTTGACCCAGTATTCCCAAGTTCCCAGCGTCCTTGTCCTGAACAAGGTGAGCGCCACGTATCTGAGGGAGGGGTCCGTTTTCCTTCAAGGCCCCCATCTGGCTGACCACACATCCTCTGCCCATCCCCCATGTCCAGGTAGATTGCCTAAAGCAGAAGTCAGTTCTCCTGGAGCTCACAACAGCCCTCACTGAAGGTACGGTCAATGGCAAGAAGCTCAAGATAAAGCCAGCCTTCCGCTCAGGGTCAGGCATCCATTGCCCCAGCCCAGAAGCTAAGGGCCCGGACACACAGTCTGTTGGAGGCCCTAAGAGGATCGGCTGGCCCCACTTCCAGGAGATCTTCATGTTGTCAGCCCTAAGCCAGGAGGATGTGAAAACACTAAAGGTCTGTCAGCCTTGGCCATAGCCTGGCGTTTGGCTTCTACCGTGGGAAGACAAGCCTCAGAGTTCCTCCCGGGAGTGAGAGTAAGTAGGAAAGTTCTGGTTGGGACTGAGGTGCTCACCCACTCTCTCTGTGCCCCCAGCAATACCTCCTGGCACAGGCCCGGCCAGGGCCCTGGGAGTTCCATAGTGAAGTCCTCACTAGCCAGACACCTGAGGAGATCTGCACCAACGTCATCCGAGAGAAACTCCTCGAGTACCTGCCCCAGGAGGTGCCGTACCATGTGCAGCAGGTACAGGCCCAGTGAGAGGATCTGGGGGCTCTCTACCAGGGACACACCCAAAGCAGGACAACTGGGTCCCAGGGTGGTTGGGGTATGGATCTGCCTGACTAATTATGTTTCCTTGTGCAGAAAACAGTTGTGTGGGAGGAAGGGCCAAGTGGGGAGCTAGTGATTGTACAGAAGCTTCTGGTGCCCAAAGAATCTCATGTGGTAAGCAGGGGTAGGCTTGGAGGAGGGGTTAAGGCTCCATTAGGCAGGGGTTCTTCCCCACCCCTGCCCGCCTCACTGCTTGGGATCCCTGAGAGCCTGCTCACGTCCTTCTCTTCTGTCCCACCCTCAGAGGATCCTGATTGGTCCGAAGGGGCACCTGATCTCCCAGATAGCCGAGGAGGTAGGCCGAGACCTCATGAACATCTTTCTCTGTGAGGTTCGGCTCTCCCTCTCTGTGAAGCTCCTCAGTTGACCACCCACTGCTGTGCCTCCTAAGACATCCCAGTCCAAGCTTTAACAGAAGCCACTGACCAGAACTGCCCCTGCCTGAGGCCTGCAGAGACTGGTGAGGGGCATGGGTACTGACAGACTGACTCTGGCTGGCCTCGCTTGCCTAGGCCCCTGCCTAGACATGTCTTGTGTTGGAGGAAGGAACCTACCGTAGCTCATTCCCCAGGTAATTCCTCCCACTGGGGCCACAGCTACGTAGGTCTAGAAGTTGGCCCTTTGGTGGGAGCAGTGCCACCCTACTTCCTTCTGGCATTGGGAGCAGAGTTTCTCCCTGAGTTGCCAGTTGTTAGCAGAGAGAAGTTAGTCCTTTCTCCCCTCTCCGATCCTCTGCCTTGAAGCCATGTAAGGACCTGCGTGTACTGAGTGAGATGGTGCCTCCCAGCTCCTACCCAAGTCTTTGATCCCTCCCAGCCCATCATTCTCATTATTGGATGCTAATAAAGTTAAAAGACAAGCATTCTGGTTCTCACCTTTATTTTTTTAGAACAAGAAAGAGAAAACTTACCAATTCCTCACCCCCGCCCTATCGTCTGAACCAGAGTCTCCCTCCCTTCCAGTAGTCTGCTCCAGGGTCCTGAGGTCTCTTCTTGGCACGTTTTGTGGGCACAGCAAGCTAACCGTTACCATTACTAAACTCAGTAATGGTAACGGTTTCCTAGCCATTCCCAAGTGCCCTGTCAGCAGGCTGTGGTAGTCTGATGGGTGAGTGTGGTGGGCTTGTGGCATCCTCTGCCCTCCTCATCGGGTTCCAGAGCTGGGGGTGCCCGGACTAGTACATCATCTATACTGTAGTGTCTCATTGCAAACTTACAGTATATGATGATATCCCAGCCAGGGCCCTGCAGAAGGGCACAAGGAGCATGGCTTGGAGACCACTGTGGCAGGGAAAGCCAGGGTCTGGGGGCAGAGCAGGACAGACCAATGCTGGACACCCAGAACTCCCCGATCCTTGCTCCACAGCTCCCAGGCTAGCATCTTTTTTATTTTTAGAGAGTGGGGAAGGGAGGAAGAAAGAGAGAAACATGGATGTGGAAGAGAAACATCAATCAGTTGCCTCTTGCCCACCCCAAACCAGGGGCCTGGCCTGCAACCCAGGCCTGTGCCCTGACCACAGTGACCTTTAGGTTTGCAGGAGTACGCCCAACCCACTGAGCCAGATCAGTCAGAGAGCATCTCACTTCTGTAGTCAGGGGCTTCCCAAGTGGGTTAGTGGAAGGGCACTGGCCCAGAGATCTCTGCAAAGCAAGGATCTGTTGAAATCACCTTAGGCAGGCGTCCCCAACATCCAGGGTGCAGGCTGATGTGGTCCGTGGCCTGGTAGGAACCAGGATGCAGAGCAGGAGGTGAGCTTGAATATAATGCGCTTGAATCATCCTGAAACTATCACCCTCCACCCCGGGTCCCTGGACAAATTGTCTTCCACGAAACCAGTCCCTGGTGCCACAAAAGTTGGGGACCACCGACCCTAGGGACCCAGCACCAGAGTTAAGCCAGAAATCACATAACAAGGCCTAAATTTGCCTCTGGCCCGACCAACAGACACAGAGGAGGGGCACTTACCTGGAGCCCAAACTGCTGGCTGGGGAGGCAGAGAGGCCCTGTCCCTGCTTCTCCACTGAAAGTGCTGGCCTTTTAATCCACTGGCCCCTCCCCTGGGTGGGGCACTTTCCTGGGTAAGGCCCTGCATCTTAACCCTTTCCTTGCAGGATACCTTGGAAGGAGGGTCACTGACCCCTCTCTCTTTTAGGCCCTTTCTCACACACTCTTAGGGACCTTGCTAGGCCTAAGATCCAGTCTTCACTGTCATCACCATGAAGCTGGTCTTATATCTGCTAGGCCCGGGAGGAAAAAGGACAGCCCTACCCCATCCCTTCAGGGCTTAATTGTAGGTCATCCCTGGTGGGGGGTTGGGTTGTTTTTTTGGTGGTGATAGAATTATTAGTTGAATCTCTATAAGGCAGAGATTTTCCTTACAGCTGTATCTCTGGATTCCTGGGGCAAGCTCTGGCCTAAATTTCAGTTCCCAGGCCCCTGTCTGCATTTATTGCTGAGCTCAAGGAGGCCAGACCTCAGCAGGTGGACCCCCTTGCCCACCTATGCCATGACAAGGTTCTCTTTGTGGAGGGTTGGGGGTAGTCCTTTGCTGAGAAATTTGAAGGGTGCTAAATCCAAAACTTTTGTGGAGCCAGCATAAGAATGGGTGGGTTTGCCCTGGCCTGGTAGTTCAGGTGGTCGTGGTTGGAGCATGGCCCCCACAGCCAAGGTTTCGGGTTCAAGCCCTGGCAGGGCACATACAGGAATTAACCAGTGAATGCGTAACTAAGTGGGACAGCAGATCGACATTTCTCTCTCTCTCCCCCTTCCTCTCTCTCTAAAATCAATAAATAAAAATTAAAAAGAAAGAGAATGGGTGGGGCCTGTTCTTCACAGAACAGGGCAGTATTTTGTCCTCTGCCTTTGGAGAAGATGAGACTCCTTTCGCAGAGACTCCTTAAAGCAGGGCTTCCATTATTTCAGACCCCTATTCGGGGACGGGGGGACATCTGCTTTTCCTTTTCCTAACCTAGACAACCTGGTCTGTGTTTTAGGAAGCAATTACACCCCTCCTCTACGGGCAGATGAGGCCAGGATGGGGAGTGGGAGGAGAGACACAACCTTCTTTTGTCCCTTGCAGGTGGTCTACTTCCTGATGCAACAGAACTTGGCACATGTTTCCTTATGTTTGGCATGGTCTTCATGCCTTTCTTGTCCCACTTCGGATCTCTAAGTGTCACCTCTTCAGGAAGGGTCTTCCCTGGTTAGTTAAATTCTCCCATTATGGGCTCATTCTTTGTATGATTATTTGCATTAAGTAAATAATGCATAATTGTGAGAGTCTGGTTTACTCACTGTTGTTTCTCTGCTGCAGGGTAGTAACTGAATGTTCATGTTGAATGACTGACATGGAGCTGAACCCATTGTAATGTCGGGGATAAGAGAGTCTTTGACCAGGGAAGGCAGATGGACAGAGGTGTAGCTCTTGCAAGTCATTTTCTCTCCTGGACTGTCCCTGTTTTCCTTTGTAAATAGCAATAATAACAGTCCCTAGTTCACAGAGTTTGTGAGAGCAAGGTGGTTGGCTGCTAGCAAAGCACTTAGCACAGTGCTACTGCTGGCCCTCAGAAGGGGCTCAAACAGGCTAACTCCTACTTCACCCCTTTCCCTTGTGCTCACTGAAGGCCACAGACAGGCCTGTTGTTGAACGTCTGAAAGCCCATGGAATATTCTTTTTTTCTTTTTTGTCTGTTTATTGATTTGAGAGAGAGAGGGAAACATCAGTTTGTTTTCCTGCTTTTTTATGCATTCACTGATTGATTCTTGTATGTGCCCTGGCCAGGGATCAAACCTGCAGTCTTGGAGTATTGGGATGACGCTCTAACCAACTGAGCTGCCCAGCCAGGGCATGGAATATTCTTGAAAGCAACTTGAGTCCCTTGACAGAACCCAGATTTAGAGGTAAACAGGACTTAAGTGACAATCCCAAGTGTTCCACACCCATCTCTGTGACTTTGGGCAAAGTGCACTCAGCTTCTGTTTTCTCAAATATAAAATGGGAGCTACTCATACCCAGCTCATGGTTACTAGGATGATATGAGCATTTTTCAAGACATGCCCCAAATCATGTCATTCATTCTAAAAGCCCATGATACTAAACCTAGATGTATTACCTGATCTAATTGCAGTCTCAATCTTTCCCAGAAATGTAATAATTGAAGAGTCTGCAATTTTCTGGTCCAGCACCAGTAAGGTGATGTCATGTGGGCCCCTCTATCCCTCACAGAAAGAAGAGGCAATCTGCTTGATAAAAACCCTTTCCATTCCCTCCCCCCCAAAAAAAAAGTTAGGGTCCCCAAATAATCTCTGCTTCTGTTAATAATTCCCTTGCTCCATCTTGCTTCCTATAAAAAACCTTTTATTTTGTATAACTCCTGGGAGCACCTTTTGGGAGCAACCTCATCCTAGTTGCTAGATGAGATTCATGAATCCCTTAAAGCCCATTAGACCTTCAAATTTACTTGGTTGAATTTTGTTGCTTTTTTAATGAATTTTTTTCATGGTATTTATTGATTTGAGTGAGAGAGAAACATCAATTTGTTGTTTCACTATACTTATGCATTCATTGGTTGATTCTTGTGTGTGCCCTGACAGGGGATCAAACCCACAGCCTTGGCGTATCAGGGACAACACTGTAAACAACTGAGCTATCCAGCCAGGGCCTGAATTTTGTTTCTTAACAGCACTCATCTCAAACCCAGATCAGTGCCCGCCATGTACAGAACCAGTGTCAGTTAGTTCCCTCTCTTCCTTTTCTCTGTCTCGTGAGCTGTATGGCTGGGGGCAAAGTGCCAGTACTCTGAGCTTTGGTGGCAATATATACTTCACCAAGTTGTGAGAAATAAGTGTGAGAAACCTGTATAAACCAAGGTGCTCTAATGGAGTGAGGAATCACGATTACATCTGCTCTTGCCTCCCTGTGACCCCTCCTGCCAAGCCACCTCCACTCAGAGACCCTGCAGATCAGGTCCCTTTGCTGGAGTACAAGCTTTGTGCACCAAGGCCAAACTTTGTGCCTTTCACTGTGTAGGTTTCTGCTTAATCTTTGGGAGTCAAGTCTAAAGGTGAACATAGACAGAACCCAGGCGTCCTGGAGGTAGAGGAGAGCAGTATCTCATCTAACCAGAGACCCTGTGGTGGTGGCCCCTGAGTGGGGTGGAGGGGGCTGAGCTCAGGGTGTGGGCTGGAGGAGAGTCTGAGCCTGGGTGGAGTGGTCTGGGGCCCTGATAAGCAGACTTGTGGCTTTCAGGGTGGGGGCTCTCCTGCTTATCAGGAGCTGGCAGGGGCCACAGTAGGACCTGAGCACACTTCCCGCCATCTCCTGGGTAGCTGCTTTTTAGCCCTGTGCCTCCTTAGAGCCCTAAGGGGGCTTAGGATGAGAGTCCTTCTCCTTCTCTCCAAGTCACAAGGAGGTTCTGCCCATTGCATGGCTAGCGCGGGGGTGGGGTCCTTCAGGTCAGTCTTAGATTGCAGCAGCTTTTGCTTCAGACCGGGAGCCCCATGGCTCTGCTGAGGCCAGGATGGGATGGTCTGGGACCTTATCCTTCTAAGGTGTAATTCTAGTCCCTTCTAATGCAGCTTTTAGCTCTTGGTGCGCGCTCTCTCTCTTTTTTTTAAATGTTCACCCAAGAATATGTTTATTCATTTTAGAGAGAGAGGAAGGAGGAGAAAGAAGAAGTGAGAGGGAGAGAGAAACAGAAACAATACTGTGAGAGAGAAACATGTAACAAACATCCGTAGGTGCCCTGACTGGGGATCAAACCCACAACCTATGCATGTGCCCTGAACGGAAATTAAACTGGAGATGTTTTTGGTGTAAGGGATAATGTTCCAGCCAAGTGAGCCACCTCGCAAGGGCTCAGC